CACTACGTCATTCTCTGTCAGCGAGCCCAAGAACTATGGGGCAGAACAAAAGCGTTGTGGGCCAAATTAACAGGACACACCTTTCCTTCCAACAAGACTTACCTACTGGCGGGGAGGATCGTAGACAACGACTTGGAAGAAGAGGAAACATCTCTAGCGGATCTGTGGAGGAGAGCGACTCTCTGGGTAATATGGAAAGCGAGATGCAAGGGTACGTTAGATAATCAATTTCCCAACTTAGAGAAGTCCATAATACAAACAGAGATAAGTGCTCGGTGGAGTGGAGAGCAAAAAGAACAACAGAAAATAACGCAACCAGAAATGCGAGATCTGAGTCAGAGAAAATTTGAGAAAATATGGCTTAACGGGAATGGTATAGCAAAAATAGAGAAGGGCTGTTTACAATTCAAAAACTGGGATTGACAAAAAAGGAAAAAAGAGAAGGGGGGGAAAGGAAAAGGTATCATTCAGTTCAAAAAGCGGGATTGAATAAAAAAGAAGGGGGCATGGACCTCAAATTCGCGCGCCCCCCTCTTCCACATCCCCTCCTCAGATAGCCTCTCACCGCCTCTTCCTTTCACTAACACCACTAATCTGCTTAGAAAGACAAAAAACAGAAGCCTACAATGGCCTACCACACACGACGCACTACCGGTAAACCAATGACCACACATAGGGAGCCAAGAAAGTGTTACTGGCACCTTCGACCTACGCACAGACCGCACAGAGGGGCGTTCGGAAGACATAATACACAGCAAGAACCGTCGTAGAAAAAGACAGATCACCGAGAACGGGCCTAGGCTTTGTAGGATTCCTTCTCCCAATCTCCCTGCCCCGAGAACCCCATCCAATCCCCTCTATCGACTAACATCCCTGACCACCGCAATAAAGTAGAAAAGTACTGCTAGGGATCGATAAGGATGGCGGCACTAAGAGTCATCTGCAAGGAAAGAGGCAGTGGAATCATTGAAGGTCAGACTAACCTCCGAGAGAAGAAGTGGGCACAGATGAACACTCCATTACAAGCTGAAATTCTTCGCAGACGGCAGGGACAGAATTACTCGGTCGGCAAAGGATGAGGATCAGCAAGACAAAGTCAGAAGGAGCCCCATCAGATTGTGGTTAATGGAAGGGGAAAAAAGGATAGTGAAGCTGAGGGTCAGCTGGAAGGAAAGAGGTTGCAGAACCATCGAAGGAATCTCCATATCTATGGAGAAGGCGCGAGCGGAAACAAAGTTCATGTTACAAGCGGAAATCCTCTGCAGGTGGCGGGAGGCAAGTCGAGCCAGGCCGGAGGACGGGGACCAACAGAAAAAGCTTAGATCCAAGTTTATCAGGCTATGACCTGTAAACGATAAGGTGGTGGTCCTGTGGGAAGACCGAATACGCTGGAAAGAATGTTACAACTCGGAACCAGGTCAGAGAAGACAGTCTGTGTTACAAACAGGAAGCCAGACCCTCGGATGAAAAATCGCACTAGGAAGGGCAAGACTGGGAGGCAGATGGAATCGGAAGAGTGGGTGGCTTGATCACGATAAGGGAAAGGAAAATAGGATGCAGCAGGCAGGGACTCCAGACTACAAATGGTTCAAGACCCACGTCAGGCCACTTGAGTTGACAAGCCAAGACGATCCAGAGGTCTCAGAAAATTTACTTCAAGACGAGGGTTTAGGGTTTAGGGTTTGGACGATACTTCCGTAACGAGAGATAAGGAGGAATAGGGGGAGACGAGACATATGGGTAAGGTAGAAGCATGACGAGAGATAAGGAGGAATAGGGGGAGACGAGACATATGGGTAAGGTAGAAGCATGAGTCTCAAGGGACAGCTTGAGTAGGTGGTAAGCTCTTTCTCGCTGTTATGGGTACACCTGGCAGATCTAGTGAACAGATCTGAGAGGGAAGAGTAAAGCAGAGCAAGCTGACAGCCAACCCTCCAGAAGACTGGAGTAATCAATGCTGTTCAGGGGTCCTTCGGCCAGACGGGAGGAAGCGGGTGATTTTCATGATTGTAATGTTTTATTCTGACTTGCCGGTGGAATAGGAACCGGACTGTTGCTCCCCAGAATGGAAAGGAGCCAGGACCATAAGGCCCTGTTCTTTAAAAAAAAAAAAAAAAAACTCAGGGCTTCTGAAGACCGTTCGGGTACGGAAGTTGGTACGTCACAAGCATGGCCTAACTTTGGAACAGCCTTTACCTGCCAGCGGCGGATATCAGTCAGATCCTGGCACGATGCCAAAGTGAACCCTAGATCAGCCAGAAGGCCAGCATGAGTCCTCAACGATCCAAATGGAGCACCTCACGGCTTCTATCAATGTCCACCAGCAAAATGCGGCGAGTTCGCTCTCCGGTGTGGCAGCCTCCCCTCAACGCACTGCGCACGGTGTGAAAGCACGTAGTGATCACACACACATATACGGGCTTTGCCACTTCGTCCAACCTTGTCACGGTGCCCTACAAGTGACGTGATTGCGCCCTGTGTTAGCTAATAACCCAAGGCTCTGCAACACTAGGCCCTAGCAGTCCCTAGGACCACCCTGCAACATCGCCGGTCTCCATAAACTTTGCCTAGTGGTATGCACAGCTCAGCCATGTTGGCCAACATCTATCCGAACTCGCTGCTTGCATGCTCACAGCTCCCACGTGGTTTGCTAATGAGCAGCCACACGTATTTATACATGCACGTGGGCTGGGTGGATTTCCCTTGCCGAGGCAGCAGCCTCGGCACTTGCACGTGCCAGGCTGCTGAACCGCCTTAGCCGTCTGATCTTGCCTTCGGACAGCTTGCAGCATGCCACCAGGGCTTGGTGTGAGGCTTCCAGAACCTTCCCATAAAATTGTCTAAATTTCTAGGCCGTTTATCTGATTGACCGGGCGATCAAGATTTTTCATGTGGCCTTTATAGGTTTCCCAGCCCCTAGGCCTTTCCAGGCCTTTCATCCAGTAGGACCGGATGAATCCGGCCTCCTCTCAGGCCATATTCAAGTGGTTCTACCAGTTCGAACGACCCAGATATTGTGGCCTGCCTCCAGGCCCTACTGGACTGTGAATGGTTGTTCTACCAGATCGATGGTTTAAACTTTTTGCCCCAGCTCTAGAACCTCCTAGAGACTGTAAGCCTTTCAGGCCATCCTTTTCCCAATGGTCACCCAGTACTACTGGGTGCACCTGGTGCAAAATACAGTCCAGTCGTATTATTGGATGGTGCTTGACTTCCACGTTTGGATGGGATCTGGTGCAGTAGCCGTAGTATGACCGTACCATGCCCCTCTAAGGCCGTTCTAAACTCGTCAGGCTTTCATCCCCAACGGTTTCCAAGTAGTACAGGATGCACCTGGCGTGAAATACAGCCAGGTCCATCTGGCATTACTGGATGGCATTCCTGTTGGCCTTTCCAGGCCCTTCGAGGGGGGGGATTTCAAGCCCCTTCTTGCATCCCGCGTGCAATGCGCCCTCCCTTAGAACATGGTTTCCACATCTTTTAGGGCTGCCTGGCCTTCTCCGGTCCGATTGATCAACAGCATGAGTGCTAGGCCATTGTGCCGCGGCCTAATCATCACACCGAATGTATACTCTTGCCTTCCGGCCTCCAGCCCTTCCTGGCTGCGTATTACTGCCTCTACCGGTGTACTAGTCATACCAGGAGTTCCTGCCTTTTGGCAGGATCATCATTGCAGTCTGCAATCCAACCTCAGGGCCTGAACCTGACTTGAAAGCTGCCTACGTACAGAGGCAGTACAGCTCATAACCTCTTTTGGAAGCTACCAGACATTTCTGAGCCTCCCTGACTCACTTGAGCCTGCCTAAATTAATAGAAAATTCCTACCAGGCACTTGCCAAATTCTACCTGTGTCCTTGTCTGTCTTGGCCTTCCTAAAAGTTTGTCCAGTGTCCAATTTCAATCCTACTGCGAGGATTTTCAGCCCTCGGCATACTGGCATGTGGCCCCTACAGCAAGCATGTGCCCGCCCTAAGTGAAGGCGGGCCCCCAAACCTCAATGAGGCCGAATTTGTCAATTTTGCAAAGCCTTGGTGGGCGCCAGACAGTTGTCACACACCAGTTGGTTACATCCGCCCTGCTCGTGAACACCAGAAACATTCGTGAGCCTTCCAGGCTCTTCTGGCAATGCAGTTGAAGCAGGGAGCACCTCACGTTTGGGCTTGGGTGGTTGGGCAGGCCTAACCAATTCGGGCCCAGGCCACTGTCTGAATGGGCCTGGGCGCAGACACTTTGGCCCAACCTGAAGCTACTGGGCACAGCGAGGCCAGGACAGGCTGCCATCGGGCCAGGCCACTTCGCATATAGCGAAGTGCCTGGCCGTGAGTCAGGCATTCGGGCACTTGGCTGTGCAAGCGGGAGGCACCATTTGGAAAGACTACGAAGATTAAGGCTGGGAGAGGTTGATTGCGTCTAGGGATAGAGCAAAATTGGTACTTAAGGAATTGCACAACTCAGGAGGCCACACAGTGACCAGGCCTACCTGGAAGCCAATAATCTTGATGGGCAAAGCTTAACAACCACAATTACTTACTAAGGACTACGAGCAAGCTAGTTACACAAGCACCTTGATACGAAGTGCAGGCTAGCGGTTCTATGAGGTACGGTGGGATTTACACTTGGTTTGACTGCTTTGTGAGGGTCATGGCCAGGAAGGAGCTCTAAGGTCTCTCCAGTTTATGTCGGACTTGACAGTGGAAAATTTACCAGGCTGTTCAACCCAGAATATATCCCATAGCAGAAGGGTATGCCTTTCTAGCGGGATAGTTGGGAAACAATCGGTCTCATCCACACATGAACAAACTCAGCATAACAGTTGTACAGTATTCATCCAGTGTTACGCCACAGAACTGCAGGGCATGTGGATGTGGAAGACCATCTTTTTGATACAGCAACGAGGAGATGATCATTGAATGTCTGAATTATCCTGTTCACAATCTATGACTCTGCTTTTCTTCTTTGTTTTGCTTGCATTTGTCGTGTGGATCTTGTGTGCAGTACAGGTTGCAAGCATACTTTGTTCCTCCAACAACAGGCCATTACCAGTTTTCAATGTACTCAGACTATTCAGGGTGAGTACACAAATCGAAGAACTGGAGAGTAGGTGAGGCATTTGATTCTTCTTGAACATACTGTCATCAGGTTGCGAATGGGTTGGATAAATATGAGTGGCACCTTGTGTGATGGTGGCATGGAAAGATCAGGGTAAGAATCTGAAGGGAGGGGTTGCAGGGAGGTAAGAGGGAGGGAGGGAGCGAGGAAAGGAGAAACGGAGGGGGGGGGGGGGGGGGAGAGAGAGAGAGAGAGAGAGAGAGAGAGAGAGAGAGAGAGAGAG